CTGGAAGCAGAGGACGCTTTCATATCTGATAAGTGCATAAGGGGGATCGGTGTCATCATATGCGGTGCTGTATACTTCTGTGCTGCTGCCTTGGGTGGAAGTGAGGCCGGTGCCAACCCTTTGTGTGTAGCCTTCTTTGGTGCCATGGGCGACAGTCTTAGTGGTTCCGCAGTGGGTGCCAATGAGCTCGGTGCCGGAGGGGGAGCCATCACAGGTGGTTGAGGTTGTGGTACCATGCCCTTTGAAGGTGTAGTCAGTGCCGTGGAGGAGGAGGCCACTTTGTGTTTGCTACTTGACTCCCTTCTTCTGCCGGCAGAGGTCCCGGAGGGGACAGTACCAGAGGTGCCCGGTGTGTCAAAGGTGCTCTCTCTAGAGGAGGTTGGCACCATGAGCAGTGATCTCATCGGAGACTGTTTTTTTTTTTAACAGTTCTTGGCTTGATGGAGACATGGCCCTTTTCCTTGATTTTATAGAGGAGTTGGCACTTAGTCTGCCCATGGAGGATGCGCCCGGGGAGTCCCTTGTCGCGGGCTGTCCGGGGTCCGATGTAGGAGTGAGGGATTTCTCCATTAGAATAAGTTTAAAGTGAAGATCCCTCTCTCTCCTTGCTCTAATTTTGAGATTGTTGCAGTGAGTGCACTTCTGCGGTATGTGCAACTCACCTAAGCATTGGACGCATAAGGAGTGGCCATCAGAAATTGGTATGGCGTCCTTATATGAAATACATCTTTTAAAGCCTGGGGAGCCAGGCATATTTAAGGCATCCCTTTTTTGTTAAAAATGGGGCCGGAAAAACGAAAGTTGTTTTTTTCCCTAAATGGCTAGCTAACTAAGTGTAACTAATGCTAACTATAACTATACTAATTAAAGTAACAAATTACTAATAAACCAGGGTAATAACTAGGTTATCTAACAATCTAATTTTTTTGAAGATTTTTAGTGACACCGCTAATGGACTCCATCTCAAGCCAAGGATGGTTGAGAAGGAACTGAAGGGGTTGGGGTGTGCACATGCTAGATGAGGCACCAGCGGTGCCACAAGACTGCTACTGCGCACGCGCACCCAACCAGACACTGCTACTGAAAATCTCCAACTGAAGTGTCTCCTGAAGTGGATCACCCATAGGGACAGCACTCGAAGAAGAAGGGTGGGTACTTGAATTAACCAGGTTATTCTCTGAGCCCTAGGAATAGGGTAAGTGTGGCCCTGAGCCCTAGGAACTGGGAAAGGGCGGGGGGGGGCCTAAATTAATCGAGTTATGCCTTGAGCCCACAGAAGGGTAAAGGTGGGGTGCCGTACAGTGTGCAGGTAACATTACCATCATTAGGCCTCAACTGGAGTATTGTGTCCACATTTCAAGAAAGATGTGAACAAACTGGAGAAAGTCCAGAGAAGAGAAACAAAAATTATTAAAGATCTAGAAAACATGACCTATGAGGGAAAATTGAAAAAACTGGGTTTGTTTAGTGTGGAGAAGAAAAGACAGAGGGGACATGATAAGAGTTTTCAAGTACATAAAAGGTTGTTACAAGGAGGAGGGAGAAAATTTGTTCTCTTTAACCTCTGAGGATAGGACAAGAAGCAATGGACTTAAATTGCAGCAAGGGAGGTTTAGGTTGGACATTAGGAAAAACTTCCTAACTGTCAGGGTAGTTAAGCACTGGAATAAATTGCCTAGGGAGGTTGTGGAATCTCCATCACTGGACATTTTTAAGAACAGGTTAGAAAACACCTGTCAGGGATGGTCTAGATAATACTTAGTCCTAACATGAGTGCAGGGGACTCTCAAGGTCCCTGCCAGTCTTATGATTCTATCCCCAGACCCTCAATTACTAATGTCTACAGCTCTGTCCTGGGCTAGCTTTCAATTGTTTCTAGACCCCGGTATGGCACCATGCTCCCATGGCTTCCTCCCTGAAGACTCTTTGCCTTTGGTGGCCAGTCTCTGACCCCAGCTCTCCAGCTGAGACACTCTTCACATTGGTCTCCTTCTGGGGGTGTATCAGAGTTCACAAATACTGACCCTCGTCAGAGTCTTCAGCCCCTTTCTCTGGGCCTGCTACACTCCCTTCTCTGACATTAGGCCACTCTGCCTGTGGCCGGTGGTGGTGGGGGCCCAGAACCCCCCCACTACTCTGAGCCCCAACCCAGGGACCCTATGAATAGCCACTGCTACTGTTTCCTGGGCCACTTCCCAAGCAGCCCCTTCACCTTTGTACCTCAGAGGTCTTCCAGCTTAAGTCCCAGCAACCAGCCAGGATCTCCTTCTTGCTGCATCTTCTTCGGCCAGCCAGGAGCACCACCCTTACTTCTCTAGCTCCAGGCAGCAACTAAAGTTTTCTAGCCCTGCAGACCCTTTTATATGAGCCTGCTAGGCCCAGATTGTATGCTTCCCTGAAGCCTCTGGATGCTCCCTTGCAGCTCCTTTCTATGCCGCCCAGAATACACACCTCTACTGCTCCCTTTTTGGGGCAGGGTGTGGTAGGCTCTAGCAGGGGACCTCGGGGCCTGGTACACCCTTGTCACACACACCATTCATGATTTTATAGACCTCTATCATATCCCCTCTTAGTTGTCTTTTTTCTAAGTTGAACAGCCCTAATCTTTTTAGTCTCTTCTTGTATGGAAGCCATTCCATACCCTGGATCATTTTTTGTTGCCCTTCTCTGAATCTTTTCCAGTTCCACTATATCTTTTTTCAGATGGGGCCACCAGAAATGAACACAGTATTCAAGGTATAGGCACACCGTGGATTTATATAATGGCATTATAATTTCTGTCTTATTTTCTATCCCTTTCCTAATAGTTCCTACCATTCTGTTAGCCTTTTTTTACCACTGCAGTGCCCTGAGCTGAAGTTTTCACTGCAGTGACTCTTTTTTCCAAACTCTAATTCCAATTAAGAGAGTTGAAAAATTTTTAAAAATAAAAATATAGCAAATAATCATTTTTGTCAAGAGACAATGTTGATAAACAAAAAGTTGGTCCAATAGGTGTCCAAGATACCAGCCTGGGACTGTCTTCCCCAAAACTGAAGGGGGCCTTAATGTTTTGTTTTTACAAATAATCCCACATTCTGAGTTTAGGACTAATCTGTTCTTCCTGGGAAAAGCTCATCCACACACAAAATAGTAAATTAACTTCCAAATTGCAATTCTTTCTAAACTGCACATTTACTGCCCAAGGAGTCACTGCATTTGTGTCAATTAACTGAATGTTTGATACTCAGTGGGCTGTCACTATGCATTAAAAATCTTAACAGTAATACTCAGTGGGATGCTGGACAACACTTGGATCTTGGATGTAGGCCAGGGTTGTGAAACCCTGCAACACACCAAGCAGCAGTGTATTTGTAATTCTCAATAGCCAGTGTTTGTTTAATCAGATTAATAAGAAAAAAAATTATAGTGATAGAGGATCAATCCAAACCAGATGAGGAAGAGAAATTACCTCTCTGTTATCTGCTCAATTTTAAACACTTTGCAATTGTCAGTTCAGGTCTTAGATCAACTTCAAGTTCCCATGAAAAATCAGACACATCACAAAAAAAATCAGTGTTGAATATAAAGAGAGGAAAAACTGAGAGGTAGCATCTCACTAACATGTCTGTTAAGACAACTGGCTTCTTCCCCAGTGCCTACAATATGTGTATATTTATTCATGAAAAAAGTTACTCCCACCTCTGGATTTTCCTGTATGTCCATCTTCTCTGTCTCTGTGTTTTCGACTGTAAGCTTTTTGAGGTCAGGGACTATTTTTGTGTAGGATATAGTGCAGATCACACTGCTGGCACTAAATACTGTATTGAAGTTACAGTGTTGTCTGGTAAATTATTTCAACCAGTAACAATGTGTAATGGCAGTATTTCAGTTCCTAGTCAAGGAGATACTTTCCTTAATGTATCAATCCCTTACCCTCTCTTCTAGAATAGAAAATCTAGGCACAGACACTAACAAATAAGGTTCCAAACAGCATCTCTCCTCAAAATAAGTGGAGGTCAGCCCTGCACAGAGTGCCAACACAAGGACAAGGCACCACTTCAGTCCCACATAAGTCCCCAAAATATGACTTAAGTAGAACTGAAGCAGTGCCTAGGCCTTGGTGGGTGACCCACAGCACAGGGTAAATTTCACTTATTATCAGCTTTGCCTGCTATGCTTATGAATAACTGCAGAATAAGAAAAGAGTGTTACCTGTGGAGTAATCTGCATGGCTTGCAGGATCCTGCTCTGCACAGATTAACTATGTTGGTCTCTCTGTAACCCAACAGGTGCCTGAGGGGTCCGTCTCTCTGATGGGAGGGGCTGTTGCTGCTTGTACAGGTCAGTTTCTGACCCCCTGGGTTTCCTTTAGAAAATGAAAATAAAAAATCTGAAGTTAATTTGAGCTCAATATGAAAACAAGGCAGATTTGTCTGAGCTGCCTTAGCCGCATCTGCTGTGTGTCCCGTCCTCCCCCCACCCCCAGTGAAATCCTAGCCACACTGAATGCAGTGACAAAACTCCCATTGACTGTAACCGGCTCAGCATTTTACCCGGGTTTGTAAGAGCCCTGTAGCAGAGTCAGAGCTTCTCTCACAGCGACTGACACTTACCTGGTGGAAAGCAGCAGCCGCCGCCCCATTATTGATACAATGGGTGTCAGGCCGCCCCGGCTCTAAAACCCAGGCAGCGATTGCGCTTCCCTGTCCTGCCCAATGTGTGAGCGCACTGACTCCAGCCCTTGGACCCTCGCACCCTGCAGAGGATGAAAGCAGGACCTGGGTCTCGCACTAGGACTGAGCCCGGTGCGGAGGGGTTTTCCTCCGGGGACCCTTTGCCTTGCCATCCACGGCGGGGTGCCCAAGCCCGCGGGACTAGAAGCGACTAGTGCCGCCTCTCTCCGAGCTCTCTGGCGGTTCTCAGGACAGCGCCCACCTGGGCGTCACTGCGGGGAGGAGTCGGAGAGGAGTCACAGAGCGGAGCCGGCACAACCCGAGTTTGGACGCAGCTACAGCACCATGGACAGCCCCAGGTGGCTGCTGCTGCCGCCCGGGGACTGGGGGCTGGAGACCAGGGCACTCCGCAGCTTTTACCCCCAGGAGCTCCCTCCATCCAGCGAGAAGGAGCTGGTGAGTGCCAGCCCGAGGGGGCGGGCAGGGCTGACCGACATACCAAGACCAGCTTGGTAGGAGGCAGGAGGGGCTGGGGCCGGCAGCACCCGGTGGGGAGGGGTCGATGGGGTCCTGCGTGCTCCGAACCCACCAGAACCCTCTTGTGTTTTGCAGCTCGGGGCTTTGCAGGAGGCTCTGGAGAAGCTGCAGAAAAAGCGGATTCCACCCTGGGGCAAGAAACTGGGACAAGTGCCAGCGGTAAGGCTCCTTCAGACAATGTATTCTGTAGCCCCGGGCAGGTCAGCCTGTGCTCCCTTGAGCGCTTCTCCCTTGGCACCCTCCTTCTAGACGCACTCCTAGGGCGGTTCCTATCCTGAGTGCAGCTCTGCTGCTCTCTCCGCTTTCTTACAGCGAATTAGCTCACTTCCTATTACCGAAAGCAGGCTTTGGGGCATGGCCACTGAACGCTCTTCTCATCCCCACAGCGGGGTCCTTCAGCACAAGAGTCAAACCATGGGGAAGAAAGGTTCTGGCGTCCACATATGATGAGTTCTAAATATCTAGATGACAAAGACAGATATTAGGGAGGGTGAATTGTGCTGAGGCCAAAGAGCGGAAAGGGGCATTTTCACCAACACTAAACTTGAGTCACTAAAGAAACTTTCTTGCCTTTCTACTCTGCTGCAGTGCGACGTGGGGGAGCTATGCGCCGTCAGAAAAGCCTCCCGAATTGGAAAGCTGTGCAACTGCCCCCGAGGAGCCACCTGCAACTTTTTCCTGCTGAAATGCTTGTAAACCTCAACACTCCAGGAGCTAAGATAACAAATGAAACCCAATCCTGTTGAACTGTGCTTGACACGCACTGCTTTGTCTTTGTTGTTGTGTTTTTTTCTATTTAGTCAATAATCTACCCATGTAAAATACTTATCTCCTTTGTAAAATATTTCTTCTCCCTCTGTATTTGTCCTCAGATTATTAATGAAGACCACAGAGGTAAGGCTTCACAACACTTATTAAAGATCAAAACATAATAATATAACTGAAAATGGAGATTTTTTTCATAGATCTATCCAAATATTTAACAGAATTAACTCAATGTAATCATGTAACGTAACAGGATGGCAACATACACTTACATACCAGTTATAATAGGGGGGCAGTAACAAATCCTATATTTACATTGCTTAGCACTTTCTATTATAATTTTTTCTTACAATTTTTGGAAGAGCTGTAGTGCCTCCATTATTTTCAGCAAGAACTTGAAACTTGGCAGGAGTGCTGTTAAAATGCATTAGGCTTATATACAACCATGCAGAGTTAGGGTTCCACAGGTAACTTTAATTCTGGTACACCTCTACCCCGATATAACGCAACCCGATATAACACGAATTCGGATATAACATGGTAAAGCAGTGCTCCGGGGGGGCAGGGCTGTGCACTCCGGTGGATTAAAGCAAGTTCGATATAACACGGTTTCACCTATAATGCGGAAAGATTTTTTGATTCCTGAGGACAGCGTTATATCGAGGTAGAGGTGTATTTCCTAACTTTGCGGTGCTTGACTTTGCAACTTCAATACCATTCTTTTAATATAGGGTTGGTTTGTTAGTTTGGGTAAATTGTGTGTACTGAAATAGAAAAAAGATTTCAAACAAGAAAATTTGCAACTGAAGTGAAAATGAATATAAATTCACAGATTTTAAAGCTAGAAGAGAACATTATGACAATCTAGCCTGACCTCTTGCATAACACAGAGAATAGAATTTCACCAAGTCCTTCCCACATCAAGCCCATAACTTCTGGTAGAACTGAAGCATATGTTTTAGAGGAGCATCCAATTTGCTATAAATGCTTCAAGTGATTGAGAATCCATCCTGTTCCTAGGTAAATTGTTCCAATGGTTAATTATCCTCACTGTTAAAAGTTTGTGACTTATTTCTAGTCTGAATTTCTCTAGTTTCAGTTTTTAACCATTTGATTTTGTTATGCCTTTGTCTGCCAAACTAAAGATCTGTCTAGGAAGGAGTATGGCAGAAAGGGATCTAGGGGTTATAGTGGACCACAAGGTAAATATGGCTGTGGGCAGGGGACACCCCCCTGAAGCTCCCAGCTGGCAGCGGCAGAGGGACCCCAGAGCTGCTCAGTGCTGGCAGGGGGCCCCCTGCAGCTCCCTGATCCCCCCCACAGGGCAGTGGGGGGACCCCTCCCAGCTACTGGTCAATGGGGTCCCTGCAGCTCCCAGCCGCTGCAGAAGGGTGCAAGATGCCGGACCCTCCTCCCTCCACATTTTGTCAGGGATGTTTTTAGTAAAAGTCAGAGACAGGTCACGGCTTCCATGACTTTTTGTTTATTGCCCGTGACCTGTCCCTGATTTTTACTAAAAATATCCATGACAAAATTGTAGCCTTACAGATCACCAAATCAAATCAGAGAATTGGATGAGTTATTCTTTATGCACCTGTATGTAATGTGTGGAAAGAAAAACTGTATTATGATGGGAAACTTTAATCTGGGAGACATATTCTGGAAGTCTCATGCAGCCAGTGGTAAAACAACATTGAAGTTTCTAAAAACTATAGATTATAATTTTCTAACACAATAGGCATTGCATCCAATATGGGGTAACTCTATTTTAGACCTCACTATGATGGATACAGATGAATTAATCACTGGACTGGAAGTTGGTGGTTGCCTAGGGACCAGTGATCATGAGCCGATTATATTCATTATGGGCAAGGAGAGGACAGTTCCAGCCAGTAATGAATATACTTGATGCTTCAAAAGGACTAACTGCCCCCCAAACTGAGGAAAATTATACACAAAATTGATTGGGAGGAAAAATTTAGACAGAAAAATTTAAAGGAAAACTGGGGGTTGTTTAAGAAGAGCTTACTAGATGGCCAAAGAGCTACAATTCCACAATCACAACAGAGGACAATTTGGCTAAAAGCTCATCCTGATTAAGAGGGGAAGTGAAGGCAGCAATTAGAAATTTAAAAAAACCCTTATATATAACAAATGGAAAACAGGTTAAGCAGATAATAATCAGTATAAATTATAAGTAATGAAATGCAGAAAATTGAAGGACGGTAAAGACAACAGGGAAAAATCCACGGCTGGCAGGGCTAAGGACAACCAAAAGATTTTTTTAAAGTATGACAGGAATAAAGAAAATCTTAATGGCATAAGGTCCATTGTTAGATGAAAATGGCAAACTTGTCAATAATGATGCAGAAAAGGCAGAAGTGTTCCATCATTATTTCTGTTCTGTATTTGGAAAGAAGCAGGATGATGTACTCATATCACATGAGTATGATGAAGTACTTTTCATTTGTAACTAAGGAGGATGTTAAATAGCATCTAGTAGATAAATATTTTTAAATCCACAGGCCTGGATAATTTTCATCCAGGTGTCCTAAAAGAGTTGGTTGAGGAGATATCTGATCTATTTGTGTTAATTTTTAATACACTTTGGAATAAGAGTGCAAGAGTACAAATTATTGTGCCAATATTCAAAAGGAGAAACAGGATGAAAAGGGCAATTATAGGCTGGTTAGCCCATCATCAATACCAGCCAAAATAATGGAAAAGGTGATACAGGATTCAAAGTATAGGAAAATGATTAATGCCAATCAACATGGTTTTATGAAAAATAGGTCTTGTCCAACAAACTTGATTTCATTTTTTTAATGAGAGTACAAGTTTGGTTGATAGAGGTAACCCTATTGGTATATACTTAGACTTTTGTAAAGCACTTGTCTTAGCACCAAATGACATTACTTATTCCTACCCCCAACTGCGATGGAGCATGTTGTATACCAGGGGTGGCCAACCTGAGCCTGAGAAGGAGCCAGAATTTACCAATGTACATGGCCAAAGAGCCACAGTAATACATCAGCAGCCCCCCATCAGCTCCCCCACCCCGCTCCCAGGGCCTCCCACCCACCGCCAGCTCTGCCAATCAGCGCCTCCCCCTCCCTCCCCGCACCTCCCGATCAGCTGTTTTGTGGCGTGCAAGAGGCTCGAGGGGGGGAGAGGAGCCAGGGTACTGCAGGCTCAGGGGAGGGAGCAGGAAGGGGTGGAGTGGGGGCAGGGCCTGTGGCAGAGCCAGGGATTGAGTAGTGAACACGCCTCAGCACATTGGAAAGATGGCAGCTGTAGCTCCAGCCCCGGAGTCAGTGCCTATACAAGGAGTCACATATTAACTTCTGAAGAGGTGCATGTGGCTCCGGAGCCACAGGTTGGCCACTCCTGTTATATACTGTTGCATCTAAAGGTTGCTAGATCTATGGTATACATTGATTAAGAAGTGATTTCAGACTAATCAGGATGAAATGGTGCTGTAAAATGCAAATTATTTTTACTAAAGAAGTACACTTTACCCTTCTGCTCAAGTACCAGCATGACCCAGCAGAAAGAACACAACAACAGCTGCCTGACACACAAGGTGAATCCTACTGCCTGTAATGCCTGGTAGGAACCACTTTCTGATACACTCAGTGTAAATCCCCATTGACTCATAGGCCGTGTGTGTGTGTGTGTGTGTGTGTGTAAATTCTCACTGCATGATACACCATAGGGAGTACTGATTTGGGGTGTAGGATCCCCGACACTCATGGCCAGTGTGGAATTTCACCAGCCCAATGCTTACAGGAAATGAGGAATCTCCAAGGTCTGATACTCACAGATGGCGCACCACGAGGAAGCACAAGCAGGAGAGCGCAAGAGGGGAGGACTCCTGTCTCAGACTGAGAAAGCGGGACAATCAGCGAGTTATCTTAAGTGTCTATACACAAAAGCAAGAAGCCTGGGAAACAAGCAGGGAGAACTGGAAGTCCTGGCACAGTCAAGGAACTATAATGTGATTGGAATAACAGAGTCTTGGTGGGATAACTCACATGACTGGAGTACTGTCATGGATGGATATAAACTGTTCAGGAAGGACAGGCAGGGCAGAAAAGGTGGGGGAGTTGCATTGTATGTAAGAGAGCAGTATGACTGCTCAGAGCTCTGGTATGAAATGGCAGAAAAACCTGAGAGTCTCTGGATTAAGTTTAGAAGTGTGAGCAACAAGGGTGATGTTGCGGTGGGAGTCTGCTATAGACCACCAGACCATGGGGATGAGGTGGACGAGGCTTTCTTCCGGCAACTAACAGAAGTTACTAGATCGCAAGCCCTGGTTCTCATGGGAGACTTTAATCACCCTGATATTTGCTGGGAAAGCAATACAGCGGTGCACAGCCAATCCAAGAAGTTTTTGGAAAGTGTAGGGGACAATTTCCTGGTGCAAGTGCTGTAGGAACCAATTAGGGGCAGAGCTCTTCTTGACCTGCTGCTCACAAACTGGGAAGAATTATTAGGGGAAGCAAAAGTGGATGGGAACCTGGGAGGCAGTGACCATGAGATGGTCGAGTTCAGGATCCTGACACAAGGAAGAAAGGAGAGCAGCAGTATACGGACCCTGGACTTCAGAAAAGCAGACTTTGACTCCCTCAGGGAACTGATGGGCAGGATCCCCTGGGAGAATAACATGAGGGGCAATGGAGTCCAGGAGAGCTGGCTGTATTTTAAAGAATCCTTATTGAGGTAGCAGGAACAAACCATCCCATTGTGTAGAAAGAATAGTAAATATGGCAGGTGACCAGACTGGCTTAACAGTGAAATCCTTGCTGATCTTAAACACAAAAAAGAAGCTTACAAGAAGTGGAAGATTGGACAAATGACCAGGGAGGCGTATAAAAATATTGCTCAGGCATGCAGGAGTGAAATCAGGAAGGCCAAATCACACTTGGAGT